ATATTGAGGAATCGATGAAATAGAATACGAGGCACACGAGATATACGTGGTATCCCCGATTGCCGGGACTAGTCCACGGGAGAGATGAACTCTCCAGCTGATATTTTATTATGCTCTCTTAGGTTGTGGCCGATGGCCTTATACAATATATATACCCTTTCTTCCAATCATCTAGGGTTTTACAACTAGGGCAAGTAATCAAATTACAACCTTGCTGTGTTGGGATTCCTCTTCGTGCATTACACGCCTGGGATGCGGCCGGATATGAGCTGGGCTGTACACTATTGGCTCATTCCCAATAAAAATAAAACTATCTATTTATCCAACTTCTTGCTACTGAAAAAGTAGGGTTGGGCATACGTGCGGGTCACTAGTAAATTTGACAAGATCCACCTGCAAAATGACTCAAACTGTAGTATGCGGCACGAGTCACGAATTGGCTGAATAGAAACCCACAGGAGCTGATGGTTGAAAGATGGGTGTTTAGGTTACCTGGAAATCCGATCCACATCACAACAGCTTTGCCCTACCGACGACTTTCCCTCGTCTTTCCTTTCTCCCACCAAAACAAGATACGATTTATTTCCCTATTCTATAAATTTCTCGGTCGATAATCCTCCTCCTCTGAAGAAATTTCTCCGATCAGCAACTTCATTCAAATCGACTTCTATAGTCAGAATCATTTCAACCTTTCTTCCCTTTCCGGCCTCTTCCTCAATAATCTTCTCTACCCGATGATCATGCCAATTGAACGATATCTCGAATTGGTCGGGTCGCCAATACTCTCTCCAAGTCTGTGCACATCCCCAATTCATTACTAGTTTGAAGCTATATAACGGTAATAGCATCCCAAATTCTTCCATCACTGCTCCCACTTCTCAATATACTGGATGGTTTTGCAGGCCCATGACCACCTTATCCACCCAAACATGTGTTATTGTGTGAGTGTGAGTATTATAATTAAGTGGATTCAGATGAATTTATCGACTGACCCACCCATCTCTCATCCTAGCTATTGTTTAATCACGAATCAAGGAATTGAAAACATTGTGAACATAAATATGATACCTACATCCAGGAGCGTAGCCAGGATTTCGACTAGGGTGGGTCCACTTCGAAAAAATATACATGATAATATAGTTTTTGTTAAATTTTTTTAATTATCCATAATATAATTTTGTATTTAAATTTTTTGATAAAATAAAATACATTAATAGTCAAAACTATTAAGAATATCACTCTCTCTATATACCAAACATTTATTCATAATTTAGTTATTCGGTCGCTTTTGGATGATGTTATTTGCCAATAATTGTTTACTATAGGTTTGATAATGAATCTTATACAAATAATTATTCATGATTTAGTTATTTGTTCGCTTTCGAATTGTGTTCTTTGTCAATAACCATAGTATCAATAACTAGAGTTGTTGGGTGAAGTTCAATAATATATTTTATACCATTTACCAACATACCCCGTTATAAGAAAATCAAATTATGTGGAATTTAAGTTTGCACAAATTCGAATACTATATGTGCTTAATGAATGAGGTCGCCAAAACTAGAACACAAAACCTTTCGATCAACGATTATCTATTAGACACACTCTAATTTTCCGAATCAATTAACTGTTATACCTAATTTAGTCTGTTTTCTCCCGAGCTAGGGTGGGTCTCGAGACCCACCCATTTGCCTTCTCCCTCCGCCCCTGCCTACATCTACTCATCTATATCCAAATTTCCGTGTGTGTTATATATGTATTGTTTAAGGGCAAGAGGGTCGCGTAATTAATGGGTGAAGTAGTAGTCGTGAAGAGGAAGACAGCATGATAGTCGGAGCAAGGTGGTGTGCTCGCGTAATTTTGATGATATAACTATCTTATATATCTGTTATGTTCAGCAATAATAATTAATGATCGGAAATATAAATTTTACGAGAGGGAAAAAAAAAATGAATTTCAGAGTCGGCCGTCGGGTGGCCCCACCACTAGGGATGGCAATTTTGACCTGACCCGTTTTACCCGACCTGTTTGACTTGTTTTGGGGCGCGGCGGGCATGGGTAGTCTCATCGACCCGACCTGCCCTGACCCGCCCCATTCTCGACCCGTTCTTGTCTAAATTACATGAAATCTTAGTCAAATTAGTTTGAATTTTACTTTTATCGCATCATATTTTAGCTATAATAAAGTTGTAAATTAGTGAAAATCTTAATTTCTCCAATAATTTTACTACAATTGTCATAATATTGTTTATTTTCTTAGTTTTATAATAAAAATAACGAATATTTCTAATATTTTTCAAATAAATTGCATACTCATTGGGTCGACCTGCCCCGACCCGCGACCCGTGATCAATTACCCGACCTGGACCCGCCCTGCCACGGGGCGGGTCTGGGTACAAAAAACCTGCCCCGGACCTACCCATTGCCATTCCTACCCACCACCAGTAAAGAGAGTCAACGAGGAAGGAGGTTTATAATTATAAGGGGGGAGCAGATCTGAGTGTTGTGAACGTGTGCATGCATGTAAGTCTTCGCTTCTGCCCCACTCGGTCTCCGGTCTCTGCCCGGCCGTCAAATTCGTTGACCAACTGGGCCAACTTATTAATTGCCTCACAACTATTGGCAGACACATCGGAACCGGGAAAAGAAAACATAAAAGTGTTCTTGATTGGAAGGCGGACGGAAGGGAGGACCGTCGCTCTTTCATGAGAAGAAAAATAAATTTATATTTATTGGATATTTTAGTAGATGAATTGGGGTGAATACAAAATAATTGTAACAATAATGTTGTAGAATATATGCTTGTCGTATTGCAATAGAAACATATGAGATTTGAATCTCTTTCAAATTGTTGGGATCAAACGGTTTTACATGTTATTAGAGATGGTAATGATGACAAATAGTCTTATTTTATAATTTCCACAACCTTCAACAAAAATAATAAATTAAAGTATAATGTATATTGGGATTGTGCAAATTTCAAATACGCTAGTCAACTTTCATGTGAAGAAGACTTGTAAAAAGAATTATATAATATTCGTTATAAATCCTACTCCTACATTTCAAATTATTGAGACCAAATAACCAATTCTTTGTTTTAATGGAAAAAAAGAACTACTGAAATTTCGGCTCACTTTTGTTTGCATTATTTTTTGTTACCACACTTCAACTTCTTTTGTTTTATATTGCATGATTTTTGTTAACATACTTTCCAAAAAACATTATCATTAAGGGTGACATGAATTTATTTTTATTGTTAAATTTTTTTGAAATATTAAAATCTGAAACCTCCAGATTAAAGCCTGGTAACCAAACTCTTGTTCCCTTTGTTATCATACTTCATGAACTTTGCCTTGAGATTCTTAATTAAGGATTATAGGTCTTTATACATCTAGCTCAACATTTAGCTATCCAGTATGGGGTTGAGAAGCGAATCCGTGTTTATCTTGTTATCGTATTTTTATCATACATGAAATATTTAACGATAATAAATTAAAATTCAATACAATTTCGCAATTCATACTAATAAAGTTAAGCATAACATCTTTGTATAATGGGAGACATAGGAACACATGCAAGAGCAGCCCATACCTCCATCCATCATCGTTACTTGTTGTGGAGAACAACTTGGGAAGAGTGACTTCATTAAGGTGGAAATTGCTATCTTAAGTGTGTTTGGCTTGACATTTTGTTATCGTACTTTTTCTATGCATATATTGAATTTCCTCACGTGGAATGCGCCGCACCAATCGGGGCGGTGGAATTGAATTTTTTTTTATTGATTTAATTTTCCATCAATAAATCGCCACTACTCCTCGATCTTTCCTCTTGTTTGCTATGTTTTCCATTCTGATGAATGAACAAGTCAAATACTACCGTCTTGACGAAGAAAAGTAGGGAAAACCCTCCTCCGCCTCTTCCAGTTGTGGCTTAAAAACATAGATCTATTCTTTTCTAACAACTCTCCCTGTAATTGGTGAAATATGAACGAGTTCATTAAATTTAACGCATAACTTTTATGGCTGGACTTTGATGTTTCACTAAGTTCTCACTCATATTGAAAAATAATAACACCCAATCAAATAATTAATTTGGTTTGAAACTGAGATGAGATACGAATGATCATCTATATATATAAAGTATCCAATTGAAAAGCACAATAGTTTGTTGAACTCTAATTATTCTATGATTTAAAATTTTCATCTCGAGAGTTGATCCAAACAACGTAAATAAAGAATATGAAGCACAAAATTAAGTAGGGCTGGCTATTTGGTCCGGGTTTTTTTGTTTTACCCGAAATCGGACCGTATAACCCGGACCGAGACCGGACTGGGACCGGATAGTAAACAATCCAATCCAATCTTTGGGCTTAGATTTGAGGTAAAAAACCGTTCGAGACCGGATTAAAAACTTGATAAAACCGGATAAGAGAGCTCAACACCCAAAACTTAAGGGTAATTAGCATAAACGATCACAAACCTTTGCACTTAGTACAAAACTTAGCCAACTCCTTACCCTTTTAGGTCTTAGGCCACTCAAATCCCCACAAACTCAATATAAAATCAAGACCGAATTGGGACCGGACCGGATCAAAACCGGATTGTATCCAATCCAATCTTTGGTCCTTATATTTTCGAAAAGACCGAACTGGACCGAATCAATTTGGGCCAATTTAACCGGACCGGACCGTATAGCCACCCCTAAAATTAAGATACTAGGGACAAGAACAAAGTTTGTGGACTGATTGGCTAGTATAACCAAAGTCTTAATTAGTCACCATTCCGTGAAAGAAAGATCCAATTCAACGCCCCCAAAGAGTAAGGAAAAAGGGCAAGCAAGGTAGCCAGCTGGCGGTCGTGACGCACAGTGTGACGAAACTCGAAAAAATCCCGGTAAAAAATTAAGTCTTCACAAATCTAATCTTATTTTGGTCTTCGTCTTCGCTCCCTCCGCCCTTTTTTATAGCCGACCTCTCCTCTCCCCGCTGAAAGAAAGTCTTCCCCCACACTATTTTCTCCCCTTTCCCTCCATCTATTTCTAGTCTCCCTCTAGACTCTCTCCAACTTCCCCATTTACTCTCCCTCTCTCAATTTCTCCCTTCTCCGGCCAAGATTTATATGGACAAAGGATGGTGTCTCGCCGTTGAATCCGACCTTCCTCTCCGCCCAGCCGCAGCAGCTTATACTACCACTCCTTTCCCCTTCTTCCCTCCGCCGTCCGCCGGAAATCCCATGATGAGGATGTTCCAGTTCCCAGACGTCGAAGCCCTCCACCACGCCGCCGCCGACTGCCTCCACGCCGCCGGCGAAGTCGACTTCTTCGCTCACCACCACCACCACAACAACAAGACCACGTCTCCTTCTGATGATAGTAGTCACAACGACGACGATCAAGTAAATGTAAGTCCCCAAAGAAATATTAATACTCTTTTTTTTCTTATTTCGGTTAGAGTTTTTTTTTTTGGGTCAATCTTACTAATATTTGTGTTTGGTTAATTATAGACTGGATTGCATCTTCTCACTGCGAACACGGGGAGCGACCAATCAACGGTGGACGATCAGACTCATGATCATCGGACGGACCACGATGACAGTCGATCCAAGCCTGAGGCTGAATTACAAGTTGAGCTACGAAGGATGAACGTCGAAAACCAGAGGTTAAGGGACATGCTTAGCCAAGTCAGCAACAACTACACCTCCCTCCAAATGCACCTTGCTTCACTAACGCATCAAACCCCTAACCAACAACAAGTGGTGCGTTACGTACCATCTTTTAAACAATTTCTACAATTTGATCCTAAAAATAGTAATTAATTTTCCTCTAATTATTTTTTTTAAAATAATGTTCAGGTACCGAGGAAATACTTGGCATTGATGCCACCTGGAGAAACATCCAACTCATCCTCCGACGAGAGGACCCGCTCCGAATCCTCCCCGCGCAACGGGAAGCGGCCGTCGGTGAGCGGCGGCAGGGGAGAGAGTCCTGAATCGGAAACCAACAAAGCCCAGAAACTATCTCCTCCGCGTAGCAACTCCACGGCCCAACAACAACAGCAACAGCAGCCCAACAACAACAACAACAACGCCGAGGCGGCCATGAGAAAAGCCCGCGTCTCGGTCCGGGCCCGCTCCGAGGCCCCGATGATATCCGACGGGTGTCAGTGGCGGAAATACGGGCAGAAGATGGCCAAGGGCAACCCCTGCCCGAGGGCGTACTACCGCTGCACCATGGCGGCGGGCTGCCCGGTACGGAAACAGGTGCAACGCTGCGCGGAGGACAAGACGATATTGATAACCACTTACGAAGGAGGACACAACCACCCTCTGCCACCGGCGGCGATAGCGATGGCGTCGACGACCACGGCCGCCGCCACCATGCTACTCTCCGGGTCGACGTCGAGCGCCGACGGCGCCATGACGATGATGATGGCGAACCACCCGAATAACCTGCTCGCCAGGGCTATGATCCCCAACGGTGCTGTCCACAGCAACATGGCGTCGATTTCGGCCTCCGCTCCGTTCCCCACCGTCACGCTTGACCTCACCCATACGTCACCACCGAATAATAATAATAATGATGATAATACGTCGGTGCAATTGCAACGGCAGCGGGAGACGTTTGGGATGTACAACAACCAGACGAAATTCTCGGGGGTTCAGTTGTCACACGAGGTCGCGAATTCACCGTCTCAGCTACTACAGCAGTTGCACCATCAGCATCTGTTGCCGCCACGTGTCGCCTCGCCGGTGGCGAGGCAGCAGGGATCGATGGTGGTGGATCAGTCGGTGAGTGCCATCACCTCGGATCCCAACTTCACGGCGGCTCTTGCGGCGGCTATCTCCTCCATCATGAGCAGCGGCGGCGGCGGCAACCAGCAACAACAATAGTAACGACAACATGGAAACAACAGCCAGGAATCTTTGAATGTTTTTTTTTTTTTTTTTGTTCTTTTGTTCTTACTGTGGATGCTACGTCATTGATAGGCATGGAACGTGGCCTTTTTAGATTGGTTGCTATTTTCCTTTTCTTTTCATCGTCATGTGACGTGCCCTCCATCATCAATGTGGACATATAGGGTTGACGTTTTTATTGTAGAAAAACGTGGGAAAATGTATAATCTCTTGTTCGTTCTTTTAGGGCGCCGGCGGGAAGGGAAGGAATTCCGTCAAGCTTAGTGGCTTAGGGTTAGAATTTAGATAAAAGATGAGACCATTCAATTCCTTTGTACCAAAGCTTCCTTCGTTTTATTCTTCGTCTATTGAATTTGAATAACTTTTTCCTACTTATCAAATGAAGTTAATTAATTGTTTGTTAGGATGTGGTATATATAGATCCATACATGCAGCTTTCCCAACTACTCGAATTATTGAGTCCGGTTAGTCTTTAATATGGTACCAAAGTTGGTTTACCCTGAGGAACCGTGTGTTAAAAATTCCCATGGTACTCAATATTAACAGTTGATGAAGCCAAATAATATGTTCTATCTATAAAAATTTCAACTCCACATGAGTTTACTTTCGGCTATATGGTAAAAAATAATATAGATCCATACAAATACCTCTCATAACAATGACGCGGGAACTGGGAACTGGAAGTCAAGTAATACGGCTTGCTGGGTTTGACACGTTACAAACAAGAAAGGTTGAATATACGAAAGTACTTGTTGTATAACGTGAATTGTTGACGAAAGGAAAAGGAATAATGTGAGGGCCTGGAGACTGGACTTAATAAGGAAGGAGACTTCCAGGAAGGGAAGGCAGTAAGTTCAATCAAAATCGCGTAATAAATTGGGCCACATGAAACCAGTGCCTTGCTAGCTAGCTTGGATGGCAAATTCAGAATTGGGTTTCTTCTTCGGATTTTGTCAGATTCTGAGATGCCTTTCCATTTTCCATGGTGGTCAACTTTGGCAGAAGCCAGGGGGAAAAAAATACAAAGAACCTGAAGGCGACGTGGCAGTTGTTTATTAGCTGGGTTGGTTGCTGAAGGCAGCAGTCAGATACGAGTGCAGACTAGTTGAGTTGGCACTGGTCTGGTGTGGGTTGACATGAGGTCGTTCACTTTCAGTCGTGGGTACTACTAAGGGGTCGTTTGCTTCAAGGATTTGGTACATGGATTTGGTATCAAAAAACCAATTATCAAGGATTTAGGTACAATCCGTTGTTTGCTTGCACCTTTTTTGGAGACCAAATCCGTGGGGCCCACGGATTTTAAGGGTCCAAATCCGTGGACCCCACGGACTTACAAATCCCACATATTGATGTGGGATTTGGAATATGACATAAATTCTTGATGAGATTTTACCCATATGCCCTCATGCACTTTTAATATTCCAAGGTTGCCCTCAAATTTAACTATTATACATTATAATTAACAATAAAAGAATAATATACACGTTCAATTAATGTGCAAACATGAGTTAGATTTTTTATATCATTTCTTGTGTTCTAGTTTTCTTTGACCTTTTCATGGAACGTGTAATTCTTTGTTCTCCCGATTCTAATATATGTTGTTATATGTCACTTTTGAAAAGGAGGACAAAGAATTGGTAATTGATTATGTTACGTTAAAAGTTAAAACGGAATTTTCTCGTTTATTATTATTGTCCATGTGGCAACATTATGCTTATTAGTATGTATTGTCCTTGTTTTGTGTACATATCATAAACATGTCAAACATATAGAAAATGATAGTAAGGTAATTTTGAAATTTTGTCCTCTTTTTGTGTACATATCATAAACATGTCAAACATATAGAAAATGGCAGTAATGTAATTTTGACTTCAAGTAGTAAATCCCACACCTTTAAATCCATGATAAAAACATCCCAACAAACAAAGGATTGTTACAAATCCATGATGCCTCAAATCCTTGATAAATCATTGGGTTTTTAAATTACAAAACCCTCATTTTTAAATCCATGAAGCAAACGACCCCTAAAATTAATTAATTAACTCGTCATTAAAGATGTTAAATATGAACGGGGACGTGTCGTGGGACTTGGTGAGTGGAGCGCCTCGTACCGCATCTAAAACCGTACGATCTATCTCTCTCTCTCTCTCGTCAAACCTATTAATTTGTAGGTTGTGAATGAATCATTAATTTTCTGATGTTTTGTTCATCAATCATTATACCATTCCACATGCTCTCATGTGATCTTTAGCTCCGATGCCAAAGATGCCTTTGCATTGCATGCAATCCAAGTAAACTTTCCGTCGCCTAGAGCTTTCTTTTCCCATGCTACTGGCCCCCTTTTTTTTTAATCACCATATGGGTTCAACCATATATATCATGATTCTGATCACGTTCCTAGTTTCACATTTTGTAGCCAATTTATAATGTCTTACCAATAGGGATGGCAATGGGTCGGGTTGGGTCGGGTTTTGCCAAACCCAAACCCATGGGGTTATCTTTGAAAAAAACCCGGGGTAAAACCCACTAGGTTTGAAAAACTCAAACCCAACCCAACCCGTTGGGTATCCGCGGGTTCATGGGTACCCACGGATTTTGTCGTTAAAAATTTACAATTACAAGTTCTTATCAAAATTAAAGTCAAATATCAATCTCTCAATACAAATTATCCATATATAAAACACCATTCTAGAAAATTCAAGCAAATCACAAATTAACTATACAAATTGTTCAACACCAATCTAGAAGAAAACTCAAAAAAATTGAAGCAAATCACATAAATAACATGTTTAATTGAAAGCTTCTTCCTTTCAATTAAGTTTATTTACTCTCCACTCCATAACATCAACTTCATTCTACACAATTAAAAAGAAAAAATTAGACATGTCTCCACAAATATAAATAAGATTAGTTGTTTAGAATATTAAATATACCGAAAAAATTAATTATATGGGTGGGCGGGCACCCACGGGCCGGGTTTACCTAAACCCAAACCCAACCCAACCCGTTGAATAGTGAACGGGTTTAAACCCAAACCCGGCCCAAAACCCGTCAACACGGATTTTACCCACGTTGACCGGGTTGGATCGGGTAGGTACCCGTGGGTTCGAGTTTTATTGCCATCCCTACTTACCAAGATATATACATACTTGCACAACACCATTTGTGGAGAGCCAACAATGAATTGGAATCCATGTTGTCACCCAGAATTTGGCAGTTAGTTTGGTCGGTCTAGCAAGTAAATTAAAGGTACATGGTCATATTATTTTAATCCGCTTTACCTTGCGTGTGAAAAAATCATTGTTAAGAATTAAGATCAAGATTCAAGTCATTTTAGATTAGGATTTCTTGATCATCCATGAATAACAAATTATTTGACAATTGGCTAGCTTCGGGAGGCCTTCTTATTGGCCCGATAAAGACACTAGGTCTGGGTCAAATCAGTTCCCCCACGGGTTAACAAATCTGATTGGAATAATCACTTATTGAGAAAAGGATAATACTAATGTCGTAATTGGAACTTGGAGCCACTCCATGTACCTAGGATTGTTAATCGGTTAACCTAAAAACGACCAGGCAAAGTCAGAGTTAATCGGCTACCGCAAACCTATAATAACTCTGTTGCTGGCGGTTTTGGTTGGGGTTCTGGCTATATCGGTTAACCTACCGGTTATCGGTGCACTAATTACTAACGGAGAGTAGTCACCACTCAGTAATCCTCCACCAAACAAGTTGTCTCCTTCCTTCCCAATCGTGAGATTCTGCTTCTTCCTTCTCTCTCAACTCTCAATTTCTCGTCCCTTATTCTCGATTCTCAAAATTTTCCCTAAAATTGAGTAATCAACACACCTAGTCCAACCACACCTAAGAGTGCCAAAAGATTCAATCAAGTCAACAACACAAACCATATCGCCTTGACTATAACGTGCTTTGAGACTTGTCTAAACTTCTAAGGCTAATTTGTAAGACATTATTGTCTTCTTAATGCTAGGTTCCACACTTGTTGAATCTAGTTGAGAACCATGATATAGTCTCTGTTCCAAGACCAGAACTGAGCATTATAAGTGGCAGGGGGCAGTTGATGATGGTACCATTGATGAAACCAAATTTGTTCTTGGTTCCCAAAGTATTGAGCATGGCCTTGTTCCAGTCATTGTAATTAGTGATGGTCAGCTTCTCACCTACCAACATCAACCATGGCTGCTCATAGTCATGAAGATAAAAGGGATCCACCATGGGATCGTGCTATTGTTGTGCCATATTTTGGGAGGCGGCTAGGGTTCCTCTGGTACCATAACACCAAATGTGACCTTTGAAACCCTAACTTACTTTTCATTGATCAACATTATGGTTTATATATACAAGGTCGAGCAGAAGAAGACAACAAGCTCTTAATTGTTGATGACAAGAAGAAAAGCAGAGGAAACAACAACAAAAAAAAAATGAGAGGGGACAAAATCTGAATCAGTGAAATAGACGTTGGAGTCTCTTGTGGCACAACGACGACGTATCAGCAATTCCTGCCTCCATTGCCTGAGACAATGTTGCTCCACTTAATCTGCTTATTACCCGTTGTTACTTTGTGTTCGAGCCTTGAGATGGCGAAAAATTAACTTTTTCTATGATATGTTGGGTTGATTAAGAGACGTAGTTGATTCATTGTTCTTTTTCTTATAGAAAGAAATCGAATCTTATCTACGTGATTAAGAGACGTAGCGAATTGTCATTGTGGAATTGTAAAAAAAAAAAGAAAGAATTGCCGCTCACCACTCACTCAGTCACCACTCACCACTGTCCACTCACTCCCAAGCTTTTCATTGTGGGCTGGATTTCAAGCCGTCTGCTGCTAAATTGGGTCGACTTATCTACTGGGCCTGAGTGTCCCAAATGATTCCCATATAATCAATACAAAAACAGAGGCTGAGTTACAGCCCGCACAGCGCCCTTAAACTCCGCCCAATATGGGCTGAAAAGGCTTTTTGAGCATGTGAATGGGCTTGTCACAAAGCCTGAACATGGATGCGAATAACGACGACGATCGCAGAAGCCGGGGGTGGCGAAGTGCAACAATCGGAAGGAAGGTGTGGCGTGCAAAGAACAGCCAAAGTGCATGCGGCAACGACACGTCAAACCCCCCCATTACATGGGTCCCACTTTTTCTCTTTCTCGTCCTTTCCCTCTCTTTGTTTCGTCAGTTGCAACCGCCACAGCACGAATCCCATGCGGCCGCTTACACGTAGACCACATTTGGATTGGAATTCCTCCGCCAAAACAAACTCGATAGTCCCGTGATCATATCCTCGATCAACGGCCACGATTCTTCGTGCGGGAATGATGGTGTAAAGCGTAGCCGAAAACAAGAAAAAAGTTGACGGGCAGTTTTC